CATTGTGTTTCATCTTTTTAGACACTGAACAACCCATAAGTGACACRAAAAACACTCTAAATTTCGCCAAAATATCCTCCTCTGAAATYGARGACTCGTACTCTTTGGATGACGACGACAGCATAAGTGACATCACTGTGGACGATAGAGTACTGGAAGCGAATGACACTGGTCACGTGGTTATGACGACAGCTTGCCAAATGATTGCMCCGTGTGCTGTCGTTCCAGGCACCCTAACTATTACCTCGACCGCGCTGTTCTTTTCAGTTGACGAAGACGATGAAGAGTACCATAAGATTGACCCAAAGGTTCGTAATTATTTTCTTTTTTTCTATATATAGTAGTATCTTGACGTATAATAAAAACCATCATTGGATTCAGTTGGATTCATCTTCATCTTCGTTCTTTTAAATATTTTGGGAGAAAGCGATTTAACAAAMAAACAAACAAAACTTTTCCGTTAAAAACTGTCATTTTGCGTATTACAAAAGACTTTAGAATATCTCAGTGTTTTCAAAATATAAGTTACCGATCATCGGATTTGACGATTTTTGTTACATTTTTTAAACATCGAATTGGCTTTAACCTTTGTGCTAATAATTCCAATCAAACGTAAAAACTCTTCGAAAGAAATAGTGATGCGATCATGCTTACGAAGACTATCTAGTACATATAATCAAAAGCACGGAWCATTTCTGCAGAAAAAAAAACATGGTGATCACGTGATTCGTTTTGGCATTTATTTGGCTCTTTCAGTAAACGTAAATGACCATTGRGTTGTTGTAGGTGCAGTGTATGTATGCCAGGCTATTCAAATTTAATTCTAACACGCGCGCTGATTGGCGGATTTCATGAGAAAAGCTATGGTTTATTTCGCCGGTAAACCAGCCTGTTGTCTTGAAAGACTTTTGAGTCTATATGGCGGACCTCGGCCCAAGTCTTGTCTGCTATAATACAAAAGCAATAAACGATAGCTTGAAGCGGTTTACTAGCGAAATTAACCGCTTGGGATGGTTCGGAGAACACTCGAAAAGGGAAATCACTCGCCTGATGGTTCGTAAGATTTTTTCTCGTGTTCTMMCAACCATCCCGCGYGGTTTATTTCGCCAGTAAACTGCTTCAAGCTATTGTTTATTGYTTAATTCTAACCGAGGTTACGTATATGTGTTTACGATGATCATATTCTTTTGATAAATACCGTCATCGTTTTCAATTCAATKYAATKTATTAATATTTTTGTATATATTTACAACTGTTCATGATWCCATTGGTCTACAAATAGAASAAAAAACTGATCGAGGAATKATAATGGATTAAAATTCATATTAGTAAAAAAATATAGWGAAATAATAGAATATTGATAGATRATAASTGATAAAATTGGATATAATTAGAAATTGAGAATTTTAGTCTAGAGACTATTACGTGCTACCCTCTCAAAATAAAGGACTTTATTTTTATTATTATTTATTGAGGTTAAAAGTGGAAAAGATTGAGTATTTAAAAGTGCTCAAAATACAAATCAGAATTATATTAGAGTTAGACACAATAMTTGGGGAGATTGTAAGTAATGAAAATGAAAGAAGTCGTTTTTATGTAAATGATTTAAACCAATGAAAACATATGCAGTCATTCGTGTAATCTCAGCCTGAAGCATCAAAAAGCATTGAAATACATTTTATCAATAGCTATACCTCATTTGGTTTGACCTCTGAGTGAGATAATTACTCTAGTGTACTCTTAAAACAAAACAAAATATCTTAAGACCTTTAGTAATCAACGTTTAAATCAGCTAGTATAGTTCGCTTGAAGGAGCAAMTCGTTTTCAAGCGAGGTAAGGCGACAGAAATCGGTTGATTTTGTCTTTATGTTGAAGAATGGGGCGAGGCTTTAGCCTTCCCYCGCATGTCCTTGCCTTTGGTAAACATTGTCATGTACTTGAATTAATATACACACAAAAATTCTTCTTGGACGCTTTTGTTTTAAGAGAATGTGTACAGTAACTTTGAAGTACCGAATGATGTCCCCTGTATACTGCATACTTGTTTTGAATTAAAAGAAAGAAAAAAGAAAAAAAAAACACTATTTTGCGTCTCATTTAGATGAGTTTAATAGTCTTGCTCAGAGTCACAACTCGAGTCTCCTCTACTCGGCTCTCTACTTTTTCTTTTCACGAGTTTTAATTGTTAACTGGTTCTTATTATATATCACGCTGTTCCGTAAAGACTGAATAATCTTTTTCTGCGGTGCTGCCGTTATCGTAAGGACCCTTATTTCTATGATATAAATTTAACGAGAGTTTATACAAGCGGGTCTGGACATTTAYTTCGAGAAAACTTTGACAARGCAAGGCAATATTTTTGCACACTTCATTTTCATTTTTTTGCTAAATGTCAAGTGGTTGGAAAGGGTTATAAAATTCAGTTATCATTCCCAGATATGTTACCAATATTAATAGTTTAAGGAAAGATCTAAAAAGCGCACGAGATGTTAACTCAGATATACGAAAACATAATCAAAGGCGTCTAATAAGATTTATTTGCGGYCGACGGACGGCCAGTTCTGTTTAAAACGGAAGGTTATTCTTTCTGGTGTTCATTTTGTATTCTTATCTCTTTGATCAGTCAAMCACTTCCCTCTGAATAGCTCGCCTATTCATATCAGTGATGAAACTACATTGTCTTTTGCCTTTATTTTGATAATACTAACAMAGTCCACTTATTTTGAATTAGCAGATTTTCAGTCTATGACTAGGCTCTTCAGCCAAGTGAGCTCAGTTTGCATGATTAATTTGAATGCGAATCTCTTTCCTTTTTATGAAGATTCCTGGTATTTTGAAAGAGCGTAACTTATAAACTCTTCTTTATTATCGTTTGTTTTGTWAGTTAAATTAAATGYGTGGCTTGTTATCTTGGATGGAGTATTTGCCGTTAAGCATTTGGTCAATCAAGGCTTATCTTTGAAACAGCATCTAAGTTTGGTAAAAATATTAAATTTACGCGAGCTAGATTTATTTTTTATTACTTTYCGTTTTGTAACTCTATTAAATAGTTGGAATTTTGAATACAAATGATTTAGAGTGCAATCTTTTAAGTACTGCTCTCACTATTTTTAAGTGAAAAGGTGCAATGTTATCGATATATTTGTCACAAATACACAGCTGAAATCGAGAAATGGCAAGAAATACACCAACTTTCATCCACCCATCTCAACCCTGTCAAACCACTGTTCCGACAACGTTTTTACTTCAATAAAAAGATCTCATTTCGCTCGATTGTTATCCATGGGTTATTGTAAGTTGAGTTTAATTTCATTAGCACAGATAAATCCAATAGCAGTGCAATCAGCCTGACCTGTCAATGACTTCTCGTGTAGTCGGCCGTTTTGTGATAGCACCATTGTTTCAGTGACAACCTAAACTGCCTTTGTACCCGATCTTTAATCTGTGTTTTCCTTCCAACTTAAATTTATTTTTGTATTCATTAAAAAAGACTGAAATCCTTTTAAATATTATATGTACATCAGTTGTTTGGTTTAGTTTAATAGCTTGCGTKTGAAATATTTTTCGCAAGTAGACGTTTTACTTTCGTTTGGAGAAATGCAGTAATCGTTTGCTATCTTCTCGTAAATCTTAGACTGTCGAGAGGCGCAACCTTKCTGGTATCTGATTGAGAGTTGATTGTTTCGCGTTTTTTCCAATAAAATTAAGTAAAGAAATAGGCGACAAAAGGAATCCTGCATAAAACACCCACTTGTAGGGAAATTGCCAATTCAAGATACAATATTTTAGAGTGAATTACTCACAAAGGTATACTGTGCTATTTACAGATGTCGATGTGATGATACCTTGTATACGAAGTGCTTTTCCAAAAGGGAAAAAAGCAAAAAAAAGGAAAAAAAAAGAGAGAGTTTGACAAATCTCTCTTCATAATCTTATACAAAGAAGGAAAGTCGTACAGTGACTGATGACTTTGAGAAGTTTCTCTCCATACTGACTCATGACTATCATAATTTGAGCAAGTTTGTTTTAACTCAATCCTTGAGAAATTTAAGTACGYGTAAAAAGAATATAAATCAAGGGAATAATCTTGAATTTTCATTAAAAAAAAAACAACCGTTTATAGTCCCATCCGTAACTTCTGATTTCCCGCGTCGTAKAAATTGTAAAATATGAACTAGTACGTTTCCGCGTTTTTGTTAATCTYACTTCTTAATCCCAACGCGCGTTCCTCTATAGTCCTTTTCAACGTACATGGGTCACGAAAGAAATATCTTGTACCTTATAGGTGTTGATATTTAAGTGAAGTATTGATTTAAGTGTTTTTCTTTTTAAAAACACTATAATATCATTTAAGAGCTTTTTAGRCTCCTATCAAACTATTTCCTTGAAAATGTTTAATTATGACTCGTAATCAATGTTATTTTGTTATATAGTGTTCCCTAATTCACTCAAAACTACTTTTAGTAGGAGCTATCTAATTAGTACGGTGTGTTTATTGCATCTCTCAAGCTCACTAAGTGCTCATAAATGTCGTGGTTTTGATTTAGTACCGTTTATTAACTTCTAGTGAAGACAAGRTCACCTGTTAGCAGAAAAAAAAACTTATATGAAAACATGTCTTTTCGGTAAAGGTACCGTCGATTGTTGATTGTTGTTAGGTTGTCTTTTTTTTTCCTTGTAGAGACCGGTGGCGTATTTCAATATTATATTAGTTGAAATGGTTTTCTTTTCTTTTTTTTCTTTCTTTCTTTCTTTTTTTATCCAGCACTCATATAAATCGTTGCTCTTAAAGGGAGCWCTTCAGGTTTTCACTATACCAAAATATGCCCTCACAATAGTTTTGATTACGCTCACTTTAAATCATATAGATGTTTATATAGACTGTAAGAAAAAAAGCGATAACGAAACATGATCGAAACTGACTGACAATATATTGCAAAGTTAATTTTATGAGGAGAGCGTCGTTTAGAAATATGGAGTGCGATTTACTTGATTGATGTCTAGTTCGACTGGAGATTCATTAACGTGTGTTATTTGTCATTACCTTGCTTTCATTTGTCTTATTTCATAAGAGGGTTACCGTATTTCCTTAATGGCTTGGAAATAAGTTAGTCAAATAGTGGTGTTTCCTTGTTTTCATTGAATGGGCCCTCGTCGTCTTACTTCAAACAATAAAGCTACCACTTTTCGGCTCAATTTCTTATGAATTCCGTRTCTTTCCGTTGTTGCGTTGATCTTCCTCGTCGCCACCTTCAAAGACTGCTAATTTATCAACTTATGCGTGAAGCCTTTGAGACTTCATTAACGCGTGAATATGATAATAAAGAGAATCAAGAAAAAAATATACACGAAAGAAGAATAGAAAGTAAAATAAAACGTCTATTAATCCTGCTTAATTTCAATGAATTTTCGTTTTCACTCGCCGCTTTTTCTTGTTTAGCGCAGTGATTGAATTTTCATTGACTGTACATGAATTTTTTACGAAAGGGTTAATTGAAAACCTTATATTTTCATTTTGTTAATCAACTGTAATCGTGATTTCGTTGTGGGCTGTCCCCCTGTGTCATCAACGACCAGCTATTGAAACATCACATGAAGAACTGTCGCCGAGTAGAATTTAATTGACTCTTTGGACAACAAAGCAAGGTCTTTTGAAAAGGCCAATCGTTGGCACGAACGACCAGCTCTAWGGTTTATTATAGTTTCAAAACAGTAGAACTGGACTGAGATATGTACAAATGTTGTGTGATCACAAAAGGGACATACTTATTCAATTAGCAGCCATTTCCATTCTTGAGTAAACATTATAAAAAGAAGCGCTTTGGATTCAAAAAGGCAAACGTCTCTGTGTTTGAGTTCACTGTGTTCCGTGGCACCTAATCAAGCACACAGATCTCTTGCCAGCTCGTTTAATCAGCTCGATCAGCCAAGCGTTGCGCACTTTTATTAGTCGTCTTCAAAGTAATAACTGCTATGTTCGATTTTAATCATCGGCTCCTTTGTTTACCGTCTGAAGCCCCCTGACGTCATGGCCTTGTATATGGACTCTATATCAAATAGTCCCGGCCAATTAAAGCGAGTGTTTGATACCAGGCTACTGTCCTCTTTCTAGGTGGGTTGATTAAAAAACGTCCAGCTTTATGACCGGAAGAACTGTGTGCATTATTTAGTGGCCGTATTTAAGAATCATTTAATGAACAACCAAATAGCAGACACTTCCGCTGTGTGCAGTAAGCAAAAGCTATTTCTGGAGTGATGTAAATACTGTTTGACACATAGGTCGTTGGGTCTGTTTTGTTTGCTTTGTGCTTATGTTTATATTTAAACACCTCCAATAGTTTAGCGGGTCAATACCAAGTGGTATCCGTCATGCGAAACCAATGTTMATCGATCTACTATCAGTAGAACTCGTTGTACAGCTTATAAGGGAAGATTTGAGCCTCCTCTCTTTTCCACAGCTTGGAAGGCTCTGCTTATCGCTCTTAGTCTAAGTATTATCGGCTTAGTTCTCGCTCACGCCTTGGACGTATTAAAACGCTTAGTACTTTATTGCTACGCGTTGCTTTCACGCGATTGTCTGGTCGTTCACACTTTGGAGTAATAAACCGCCCCAATTGATATATATCGCTATCTTTTCTACTTTCTATCTTGAAAAAACTCTCGTTCAATAATAGATACGGTTTTGGCTRGGATTCTGGTTGCACATTCACGCGGATAGTCTTTGCCGAGCCGCAACTATTTGTTCTATAGTTATTGGTTGTAAAAGACCGCCATTGACAATTTCGGAGCGCGAATATTGAGGGTGTAATTACACAAGACCTTCTTAGGCCAATGTTGTTCTTCATTCGGTGTTCATATATGTTTTATTGCTTTTAATTCGCTGTWAGTCCCCTGTGCCGCTAAATAGTCAATAAATTGTGTTGTTCCTCGCTTGSTTGAGTGCAATAAATCAGCGCTTGGCCGATGCATGGTTTCAATATCGCCTGCAATAATACAAAACCGGTGGGCGGTCGATGTTTAGAGAATTTAATATGATAAGCAAACGACCGACATGTGATAAAAACCTACGGAATAAACGACGTTTTACCCCTTAAACGATCACCATTCGATAAAGGAATACTTGTATTAAAGTCTAAAGTACCTACTTTGTTCGAATGCTCATATTAACAAGTGACCAGACATAGCTAACGTTCACTTACTCGTCCCAGATTGACGGTACAGTCATGGATTGATTTAATCGATTGTTTTGAATGATCGACCGACCCTCGTGTTTTATTGGCTGTGAGTCGGTTTTGGTCTTTGTTAAGGAGATTAATAGAACGTGACAGGTTCAATTGGTTCGACTATGGCACCTTAATACTTTGCTCCGGAAAACTACAGAAATACACCGGTTCCACAACAACTATTTCACTTGGCCCCACTAGAAGCTACAGGCCATTCCGATAAGGATTTTCCAAGGAATGGCATGTTTCTCTGGCCAGCGACACGTCACTATGAAACACTTCGTGAGAAACCGTGTCCATCAACGAAAGAGCGAGATTTACCAAGCAGTAACTAACGTATGTCGTGTTATGCAGGATGTCCTCAAGCACGTTGAAGCACTCGAGCCAAGGTTTATATCCTCTCTAACGCAGGTCGATGGCCGATACGTSGGTCTACAAGTCGTTTCGCCCAATCGTTTTGARGTTAGCCTATTCCTTAACCAAATGGGGGTATTCAACTTTATCGATGATGGCTGTCCGTCKGGATGTGCCATGTTAAAGCTTAGTGATGAACGCAAAAGATCTATGTCGCTATGGACTGAGTTTATCACAGCGTCGGGTTATTTATCCGCGCGTAAGATGCGCTCAAGATTCACTTCGTTAGTTTCTGAAGCAATTCGCCGCGGTAGCTTGCAGTCCCAGGTCCGACTCATCTCAAGTAACAGCTTCTCTGCAGTTTTAAGTGTATCTGATACATATACAGTAGAACTTGTGCCTGCCTTTCGTTGTGGTTCTATATGGCCGCAGAATTCGTGTTCGTGGCCAACTATAGGCGCTGTATGGCCCAGCCAGCCAATCATTGCTAATGTCAAGATGAGAGGCTTTAACCTACTTGCACGAGATCCATACCCGACCTCTAAACCTGTAAATACCGAGGGAGATGCTTGGGTACTTTCGTTCACTGACGCAGAAGAACTTCTCATGACTGGTGGCTGTCGTAGAGTCTGTCTTAGTATGTTAAAGGCCTTGTGTGACAAACATCTAGTRATTCACGGTGAACCTATCGAGTACGCACACCTAACGAACTTAGTCTTGTACGAATGTGAAAAGCACCCGAGGGAATACGAGTGGGACGAAGAATCGCTATTTGATCGAATTAACGGCGTACTTCTCCAGTTAGTCTCCTGTCTACAGTGCAGAAAATGCCCTCACTTCTTCCTGAAAGGTGTTGACTTGTTCTCTGGGAAATCAAGATCTTCTTTAGACCAGGCGGCCAAACAAGTATGGACGCTAGCTAGAGACCTTACCACGAACCCGTCAAGCTTTGAGTCGCTATAGAAGTTATCTTACGCTCTCCATACATCTAAATCGCTTGAGGCTTGTTGACCCTTCCATCCTCCGCCACTCCCTCATCCTTATTACTACTGCCTTCGATAGCGCCGATAAATGGATTATATGACTTTAGTTCAAGTATGATGAATTAGGTTTATTACGCAAAATGTAAAGCACGTACAAAGTACAAAATTAATTTATTGAAGAATAGACKAACACTTTAAAAGTACCGATATTTTGTCGTCATTGTTCTTGCTTTGGTCTTATATATACTCGGGTGTGTCTTCAGCTGCCGCTTGATGCGTTTTTTCTTTGCTTACATTTTCTTTTCGTGTATTTTTTGTTGATTCTTAGCTCACAGTAGAAGTTTATAATAATATGTTCACATTCCAAAAAAGAATCACTCAGAATTCCATTGTTTCTCTTTTTTCTTTCCCGGTTTACACTTTGATTTTTCGCGATGTTTTTCGTTTTCGTTTTGAGATTTATTGGCTAACACATCCTATAAATCTTTCCAAAATACTAAATAATTAGACAAAAGCAAAAATAAGTCGCCATAGAGACATAAATGCATGATAAAGAACTTGAATCAAGTGTTGATAGAACTAGATTTCAAGAGCTCAACTCGTCATGTGTATTGTTCATTGCAGAGATACAAAGCAAAAATTATCAGACTTTCATCCTTTTTTTATCCCCTTTCTCTTTCAACTTTACTCTACCCAATCACAATTATGAGAAGAACATTTCATTATAACTGATTTTCAAACAATTTTTACATGAATAGAAAGCCCAATTCAGAACAAGAACTCKTGMAAAGGTGTCTTGACAGAAATTGCGTTTCATGCTTGCCCTCAGCTTGTGCTTCTTGTAATTAATATCTTGATAAAATCATCGTTACTTTTATACCCAACCATTTTGCTAGTATTATAATTATAATTATTGCTTTTGCTGTTTACATTTTCTTTTCAGATATTATTACTATTTATTATTTTATATTAAACATCCTTTCAAACTTTTTTTCTTTTTCCAAGGCGTGGAAAGTTTTAACAACATCTACTACATCTTCTACAATTGTCTTTYCCTAGTTAATTTGCCGTAATTTTTCCTGTGTTTAAGCAGCCAACATAACATTTATTTCACTGTAAAACTAATCTGGATTATTCAGAGGAAACCATTGATAACTGGCTGTCTTTTACTTCCTTTTTGTTCTAATTGAAATCTTTACTTATGAAATTAAATTCACCATCAGGACTATGAAGATTTCTGACATACAACATTCTTGATTGGTTGGCTGTCATTCGACCGATATCCTGAGCATTTCAACATATTAACTGTTCAACGCTTCTAGGAACACGACACGCATCAATATCTAGATTATTTGCCATCATTGTATACAAACATTTCTGTGTAAAAATAATTCAACGTTTTTTTTATCTCTTAACGCTTTAAATTTGACACTGTATTTCGGGTTTTTGACGCGGCTTTGAAATGAGAAATCCTTGCGGCATTTTAATTTCGTTTTTGTGTAATTAAATTTCTGGCTGAGGAACAATTGCGCCGCGAGCTCAAACTAGCCGTGAATTACTGCTTCGGTTGTAAACCCAATTACTTGTCAGCACTTCGACTTTCACTATAGATGTTTTATACAATCTGTATATTTTTTTTCCATCTCTGTCTCTTTTTGACTTTGAATTTTAGTTGTTAATTCACTAATCCGTGACTTCTTGGTTAATTAATTTGAGAAAAATTGACTTCTTATGACCGCTTTGGATTTGTTTCGTGCATAGACGAAGAAAGCACTCTCTKTTTYCTGAGATGGGAAAGGGAAGATTTTTTCCTCTTCTTATCTAACGCATGAGAGATTGTTTCTAAAAACATTTTCGGTGAAAAAGATTACGTGACCACGGATTTTATTCGCAAGCTCCCTCGTGGTAATTAATTTCAACATTCCGCCAAAGAAAGATCGCTCTAAGTGGATCAAAAGATTCAAGCTAAATACTGCAATAAACCCCGCCAAACGAGCAGAACCGCGCCGTCGGCTAAATTGGCAACATTTACATGTCCAAATAAGAGACTTACCACAAAATTTGAAACATTATTGAACACGAAATCAATTCTCAAACAACTAATAGTACACGCTGTACATATTGTATAACTCTTTTGAGAGGCATTTGAGGAGGCACTTCAATTAACAAATAAATCAAGTCCCAAAATATGATAGAAACTGGCGCTCCTTCTACGAAACCATGGTAACGGCTAATGGCGTCAGAGCGGTGAATTCAGATGTAATACTAAATTGATTTTGATCGTAAAGACTTGGACATCGACTAAGTTTATTTTTGTGCTTAGCCTATAGAGGAAACCAGGGAGCTGAGAAAGTGCGATTCTTATTTCCTATCATAAATGTAATTATTTTTAGTTCTACGAGCTAGATGGCCACTTTAAAGTTTAATCCTTTATTAGTTTATGGATCAACACGATACACAGTATCATGACCAATTGAAGTTAGTCATGTCGGGCAGCGTTCGTCATATCATTAGCATCTAGCATAGTACAGCATCGTTTGTATGTCAATATTACCATAGCTATGGCAACATTAAACCCTTTGTTTATTTGCGTGAATCCCTTTGTCTGTCCATCCGTCTATCTGACTTTAATCCTTCTTAAAAAAGAGTTAATATCCTGCTTAAAATAGAATTAATATTCATAAAATGCGAGCATACTTGGTGCTAATAGATAGTYAAACTAAAAATGTCACGCGCGCTTTTCTTGCGTTATTATGACTAGTGATTGTAACGGAATGCATACTTACGTGACAAGAGAGATCTCACGCGCCTTTTTCTTGCGCTAGTCTGCGTTACGCCACAGGTTCTTAACTGCAAATGAGATCATACGCGCGTATTTTTTTGTGTTACTATAACGGTTCTCAGTCTCCATATYGGATCATTTGCGTGTTTGACTTGCGTTGCTGTGGCGTTTGAATACTACTGGAAATACGTTCTTACGTAACAAAGCCCTAGCGGACTGTGCAACGACACGGATCACAACACGGACACGGCTAGAGWTAACAATCTCAACCTTGATATTCTGCACTGCATGTGTTCGGCAGGCCCCTCTATTGTTGGCGCACGTAACTCTAATCATACGTGTTTTTTGGTTTACAGGTTCTTCTATATATGGAMGGTCTGCATGGCAAATGGTTTGTGGACCAAATCAAAGCTATATTTTCTAGACGATATTTACTTCAAAACTGTGCAGTGGAAATATTTTTTGCTAGTGGAAGTAAGTAGAGGAATCAGTGTTCTCTTAGAGGGGATTTCGTATGACTGAGTGGGACACCGTTACCGCACGATTACCGCACAGTTAGCGCACAGTTACCGCACCTGGCCTGCACAATTTTGGTGAACCAATGGGGCACTAGAATTTGGTTACAGTACGATTACGGTCACAGTACAGTACCGTCCGTTTCCCACTCATACGAAATCCGCTCTAGTRTGTTGTTTTAGTTAATTATGTCATTGTTTTCAGAGCTATATTGGTTCCTTTGCATCAAAACGAGCTGCAATKATAGATACACACCCGTTTCTTCTTAACTAGTACAAATGTTGTAATCATATGTCATTGCCTTACCTCAGTGCAAAGGCGTGGCTGGCTGCCTTTCAACATGTCGTCTTGTAGTAGTGTTTACGTAACTAATATTTCCTGGGTTACTTTTACGTAATGATTTTGTTATTGATACTAATTTGTTATTGCTTTGCTTGTTTTTTTTTTGTTTTGTTTTGTTTTTGTGTGTGTGTGTTCTTTTGCTTGTGTTGAAACCTTTTATTTATTTATTTTTACTGTACGTACGTACGTACGTATGCACGATACCAATACGTTGCTAAACCGCAGAAAACTCGTGCGCAATGATACGTTTTCGTTTGTTTTTTGTATTCTGAATTTCTCTGACCGCGATTACATTAAATACGTTACGATCAAGATCATGCACATCAATTGCGATGTGTTTTCGTTGCTTTGTGTTCTTGTTTGTTATATTTTGTTTTGTAATCGATGTCCTAAATGAATAAAAAACAATGGGCTGCGAAATTACATAGATTTAGACAACACCTTAGTGTGGATTGAGACTCATTGTTCTTTTTCACGATTTRTAGCCTCAACACTATTCAAGTTTCCTGACCAGCAAACAGTGAAGAAAGCAGTAAGGGCGTTGCCCCCTGTGGGTGTAGGGTCATACTATGGCATAACACAAACAAGGTATTTCTAAAATATATACATCTCTTTATGCATTTTGTTAAAAATGCGCTTTTTAACATTGCAATGAATCGCAATGAGACCAGTAGATCTTAATGTATATTTTTTATAAAAGTAGGGAAATAGACTGCGTTGCATCTGGCTTCAGAAACCCTCTAAACACCGCAGAAACGTTGGCTCATTTATTTATTTATTTTATGTACTTTTTCTCTCTCTCACTCTCTTTTTCAAACAAAAAAAAAACTGTTATAACGTCGGCTGTGAACGTTGGCAGAATTAACAGACAATCAATACTCAGTAGTGTTTGCTTGACGCGGTAACTCAGATGCCAACTAAGGTACATTCTTAAATTCCAAATTTAAAACGGATATTCAGAACATAATCAGGATCGGAGACTAGTCCAGATTGCTCGGATTTTACAATATGCTTTGGGAATATTAAACTTTGGGAACTCATACTGGATTTATAGAATGAAATTCCTAGAAATTATTGAATTCTACAGTGTCATTCCAAATTCTATCAACTCAAGGATTGCTCGTTTGATTGATGGTCTCTTTYCTTTCTCTTTAGAGCTGCATCTCTTTTTTCTCCTAAACAACTGTTCCAGAAATCYACTATGACAAGTAGATGGCAGCGTGGGGAGATTGATAACTTCCAGTACTTGATGTTCCTCAACACTATTGCAGGTTCTTAACCAGTGATATATTTGAGTATTGCCAAATAGAAGCAATACTTATGTTTGCTTTGATTACCTCTGATCTGAAATTTTATGTCAGTTGTGCACATATCAAAACTTTGAACTGATTGTAATATTTTTTTTCTCAACCAAATAGTGCGATACATTTAATTTGACTTGTTAGAATAACAGGATCCCTTTACTAGGAACGTCCATGAAGTGTATAGGGTTTGGTCAAAGCATGTTAATAGACCTGTCTCATTTTAAGTTTTTTTCGTTGTTGTTGTCGTTGTTGTTTTGCAGGGGGTGAGGGCAGTGAATAGTTACTTGCAATATTACGCACGCGTGTAAGACAAATTCCACGGGAAAGACAAATTATATATTAAACAAAGATGTGGGCGATAGTGAAACGTCAAAGTGTACATAAAGTAAGCAGTATCGAAGAACTACTCAAGAGACAAGTGAAGGAATGCCTTAAAATAGACACGTCTATGTAAAACGTCGTTGTATGCTCCTAGTACTTTGTTCCTGTTATTAACCATTCTGGTTATTTTTTAGGTCGAACGTATTGTGATTTGAACCAATATCCCGTGTTTCCTTGGGTTTTAACGAACTACGAGTCCACAACATTAGATCTAAAAGACCCTGCTAATTACAGGGATTTGTCCAAGGTAAAGACAGTCACTCACTCTTTTCACACATAGATATGTACCTTAATCGATATCATTTTAACAGCCTATCGGTGCTCTAAATCCCAATCGTCACGGCCAGTTCTTRGAGCGCTATGCATCATGGGACGAGAACGATGACATCCCTCCATTTCATTATGGTACACACTATTCAACGTCAGGCTTCACGTTGGCATGGTTAATAAGACTGGTAAGTGAAAATTAGACATAGTGCTTATTTGTATGATAGTCTCCTTCAAAGTTCCCTGCGCCAWCTGAAAGGAAGCCGTGCATTTGCATCTAAGCCCGACGAACGTTTAGCGGGYAATGATAGATACCTGTGAATAATTGTCTATTGGTGTGAACGAAGGTTTCTATCAGTTGTCTCACTTCGACGCAAAGGCATGGCTTCCTTCCAAGATGGCGCAGCGAACCGTGAAGGAAACTATTCGGCAAACCCTCAGATAAAGTAATTTTCTTAGTRCCATTTAATGTAACGTGTTCTTTTGTGATTTTGTCCTCTGCATAGCGGCAGCGTTGGTAAAAAGGTCCAGGTCGATTCAGCAATTGATTGCATTGCGAGTCACCGCGTAAGTGCGGTCAACGTTGCCRGAACACTAGATTATAGCGTCCCAAGATCTTACTTAGTAAGACTACTATTGTCATAGCTGAACTAAATRAAGTTAACCATATTTTCTAGGAACCTTTCGCTACTCAGTTTCTCAATCTTCAAGGRGGTAAATTTGATCATCCWGGACGAACATTCTGCTCGATTGCTACAGCCTGGAAAAACTGTCAAAGAGATACGTCTGACGTCAAGGTATTGCCATTTTGAAACCGATTGTAGTTGAGAGGTTTTGTATACTGAGATTAGAGCCAACCCTGTTTTACCGTGAAGTACCAAATAGTACTTAATTATGCAAATTCCTCTGTTTTGAATTATGTAAGCAACATTATTAGTGTTATTATTAGTACAATTTGTTTCACAGATTAAGTGCGCGCAATGTTCAAACGTGAACTTCATCAATTTGACTGTAAAAGTTAACGAATATTGCATATCAAATAATATAATTATATTTTGTTGCAATCCACATTGACAATATAATCTTTCTAAAGTTTACCTCTTTGTGTTTTCTACTTTCGTTATTGATTGATTTATCAGCCAATCGATGCGCGTCGTTGTTCAATTRTGTTTACACAGATTGTTTTCGTTATTTTTCCAGGAGCTCATCCCAGAACTGTTCTATTTACCAGAAATGTTTCTSAACGATAACAGAGTAAGTGGATTACAGTAATATTCTCTTTTAAAATTCTAAAATCCCGGACAAAACAGTTGAGTCATTTCTGAAAATAGGTTGAATTTCGATAATCTATGCATATTTCTGGGCAAATCTCATCGTTTCCACCCTCAAAGCGACTTTGAAAGGACTACAGAACAAAATAGCACACATCATTGAGTTGAGGGTCAAAAATAGTGTTTTTTAACATGAGAAATGTCATTTTTTGGTGCGTTTAAATGTCAGTGTCTCAACGGGTTTTATCCGGGATTGTAGGCGTTCTTTATGATCCCCCCTACATCTACATTTTTTTTATATTTTCGAAACCTTATTTTTTATGTGATTAAGGCTTACTTACTTACACAGCTCGATTCTATTTTCGTGATATTTCAGTTCACTTTTGGAGTAGATGACGATGGTACGGTCATTGATGATGTTGAACTCCCACCATGGGCTTCCTCTGTCGACCACTTCATCGCGATGCATAAAGCGGTAGGCYAAAATTATAGAAATATTGGTAATAAAAACCATATTGATTTTTGAGTATACTAGTAAAAACTATAGGAAACCCACACATTTACGTATGATGAACAATATTACAGGGAATACAGTACATGTTAATGAAAAGTRCAGAACGATTTTGGCGCGTTTTTACAGAATACTTAAGTTAAAATTGAACAAGAAGCCTTGGACAGGATCTCAAAAAATATAATTCTCGCAATCTGAAAATTGTGTCGATTTTAGTTCAAGTTCCAATTTCTAGCGGGTTTTTTTTTTCGGCTTTTTTTTTACATAGTGTATTAATCTTTTTTTTGTGATTCATACTTAATGCTTTGCCTCTGCTCATTATCCAACCATATACATATTGAAACCTGTATATTTGAKACCTTGAAACCGCTCTCAAATAGTGTCACAATAATGACAAATGCGTGCGCATGAGATTTCTACCACTCTTCGTAGATAACCCCCGCCCCTTCCCCTCTAATACATTGTTGATTCAATTTCTTCCATTTTCGGACATTCCTTAACCCTTGGCTGCAACTTTGATGTAAAGGTAGGGAATGAAAAATTTTCAGTAGATACGCGCGGTGACGGTATTTTTCGTGCGCAAGTGAAAATTTTTCAAGTAAATATTTATGTTCAACACTGCACGCTAATCTTCAGCATATGATGGCTGAAAATGACACTAACGTACTTWATGTTACAGGCACTTGAATCAGACTACGTCTCATTGCATTTACACGAGTGGGTAGACTTAATATTTGGCTTCAAACAAAGAGGTAATCATGAGGGTTTATTGAAAGCGTTGTCCCTATTGGGAAAAGTGCAATTTTTTTAATCACGTTTATACCTAATCTGTTGTTATGTGTTCACTTCTGCTATTACTGTTACTATCAGGTCCAGAGGCTGTCAAAGCAACCAATGTATTTTTTCACCTGACTTAYGAAGGAAGTGTCGACTTGGACGCYATTAGTGACTCTGTTATGARAGAGGTAAATGAAACWACTTTTGRTACATTTATAGCATYAGGCCACGAGGTCGAGTGGAGTACRAGTTGGTAGTTCATGAGGCCATACATTATTAGTTTACGAGACCAAACTATATGAGGGAAAAAAGCACAAATAAGTATTTTTCTCAATAACTTTTCGACTATTTTTKCTTCATTCAAATGCGACCATAYACCATAGTTCAKTAGTCAATCAGAATGCTGGATTTGTAGTAGCTCCTAKTTTGGTAGATTTTTTAGGATTTTTTATTAATTGAAAGGGGATTTATTCAAAAATACTGTGCTGAAACTAGCMTGCTAACAGACGTTCCTGCTARGGACCGAGCGAGAATGAAAGGGGAGGAGGAGCGAACTCCTTYTCGGCCCCCCAGCAGGACGYCTGGTAGCAGGCTATGCTGAAACAAWAGAMTTTATATTSATCSTGCCCAAGTTGTGTGAACTGAGRGTTTACCTTAACTGTTGTGTTACTTAGGCTGTACAACAGCAAATAAAGAGCTTTGGACAAACTCCTTCTCAGCTTCTGCTTGAGCCCCATCCAGCGCGTGTTTCATTTGACTTAGTACAGGTAAACGTTTTCTAAATAAATTGCATTATTTTCCACGTATATTCAGCTCTTTCAGAAAACGTTGAATAATGCATACGTTMAGTTTGATGTATTGTAATCCCATACGATAGATTACTAACCTCAATATTTGCTACTACTCAATTTTTAGGCTCAACTGAATCAAGAACCATTTAAAAGTAAGTATACTCTTTGAYTGATTTTTACAATATATTTTCACAATTTTTATCTATTAAAAAAGAATTTTGATAAAAAAAGCTTTCGCCATCTAGGCACTGTTTGTCAGCAAAACCTCATATCAAGGCGCTGAAAGAAACTATAAAWGGCAACATTCTGCGCACTCAATGGGCATCTCTTTTTTTTTTCATTATCCTTTCTTCTTATCGACTTTTTTTGGTTCTTGAAAAAAGATTTCTTCACGGTTCCCTCCTTCATCTTGGAAGATAGCCAAGCCTTWGCATCGAAGTTTGACGACACTTCCAATGATAAATACCTTTGTGCGAATGAATGATAAATACCTTTGTGTAAATGAAGGTTTCTATCTTTGCTTGCCGCTGAACAGTCGTCTCGCTTGGATGCAAAGGCTCGGCTAACTTACAAGATAGCTTAAGAACCGTGAAGGAGACCATTGAATCAGTTTTTGTATCTGACCTTTATTCTATTGTAGGTATTTATCTGACGTTCAAAGTCACAGAAAACGTACCAGTGACTTTTGTCGCAGCTCATACTGACGTGAATCAAATGTACCCTGCAGTTGTTACCATCAGCTGTAATCAGTGTTTCTCGCTCAATCGCTGGATTAACACAGGTAGCTGGCCACTCATATAAATGGAAAATTAAGTGGAGTCTAAAAAAACGATTAAAAAGGGATGATGTTATTGTAAGCATTGAAGATGTAAAAGAAGTTCATTCGAATGTAGGCTCGTTTGCCAGATTGTAAGGCGGAATGTCATTTAAACGAAAGGAAATGGACGAAGGGGCTTTAAATGTTTGTTATAAAACTCATTAATATTCATAAGGCAAACACAATAGAAATCATAGCCCATGAAGAGAGTTGTATATTACATACAGATCGCCCGCTCATATTGTATATATTACCTGGAAGATTATATGGAACCTCTTCGGATAGGCAGCTATCAAGGCGTTTCCATTACATAGCCAACATCATATCGTGATCTCGAATTACAAAGAGGATCAGCCTTACTTTTCTATGTAAATTTCCCAAATATTCGGGGCTGTATCTTCTTAAGTTTTTTTTATTTTAGTACGGATTTTGCATAAAACTGTAAAATGGATCTATCATTTCACCTATCAATGTATTTGTGTTTCAGATTCTGCGCAGAGTCTTCGTGGAGCACAGATTGAACAAGATCCAATGTTAGGTAAGTGGTATGTTGGCGTGTGGCTACCATGCTATCAATGTGTTTCTTCTTTTCTTTTCTTCTTTTTTTTCAGTTTTATTTATTTATTTATTTTTATCGTTTATACCTGTTTTCAAAAACGTAGTCCCATTTGAAAGTAGGAAATAAAAACTCATTAGCATGTTTTCCATTTAGGCAGAACTGGCCGACCAGTCCACTYTATTTAGAGGTATATAATACCTTTTGTCAACATTTTCAGTCATTTCGAGGYTTTCTATAGARTAATGGATAGAATTTGAAAATTTKAATTTCCTAACTAAATRGRAATGATATGTAATGACATTTTCTCTGGGATGTCCAGCCAGTTCTGACAAATGGAAAGCGCCTTTAGTAGGAAGTCTATACTAATGAATTCGGTCTGAAGTTAACTGACAATTTTGTACAATAATTTCCTTGTGTACACGGAGGTTTCAGTCTTTGTTTTACTTTAGTTTTAATTCCTTTTTCACCATTTCCTTTTTCCCTTTTTTTAATGGAATAACGTTTTTGAAAAAATGTGTAAATCAAAAAAATAAATAAATGAAATAAATGAACAAATAAATGAAATAGAATACTTGCATTTGATTTAGTGTCCATATTTTCCCTAGCCACACCAACAGGGCGCCATCGAAGACAGCTAGGGGAACCTCTAGACCAAACTGTCACCCCCAGTGCGTCGTGTTTTGTAGTGACCAATGACAACAGGACAATAATGGCGTGTGGGTACTGGGATAACAGTTTTAAATGCTTCTCATCTGATAGTGGTAAGATCTTCTGGACAAGAGTTGTTTTCTTTTGAGTGTGAAAGAAACCTAATATCTTCTTCTTCYCTCCCCTACCCCCTCCCTTTTTCACTTTAGATAAATTCAAARTATGTAGTCATTTAAAGTTCTATTTGGGGCCATGTTAGATCTGTTAAGCGTGTTATATTAATCTACGCATACTTTTCTTTAAAAGAAAAAACACGGGGACTTAAACTGACAAAAATAGAGGTTGTGAAGGAGACTGCTAGCCAGGCAAAGGATCTTGGTCAAATGGCATTCCTTTCGAACTTCTTTTTTCGTTTGAAAAAAAACAACAACAAAACATCGTAACGTAAACAAAAACAAAAACTCGCTCTTAATTACCCTTTATGCTCAATGAATGGAAATATTCAATCTCAAAAAAAGATAAAAATTCGCGTGTGCTATATTTCGAGAGTAATAAATTTCGCGAAATTTCATGAAAATATGGTATTCTGCATTTCCCTGGAAAAACTGCTATGTTTGTCTAACTTATGTTTCAGGCAAACTTACACAGTGTGTATTTGGACATTGGGACCTRATAACGTGYTTAGCCTACAACTACCACGTAGGGCTCATGGGAGGTTATGGTATCGTAGTGTCCGGGTCACGTGATGCTACGGTTTTAGTATGGCACTGGAATGAACGCTTTCAACGGGTCACATCCGCKGACCGATCAATCGGTACGTCKAAYATGCAGCTAAACTCACGAACCCCAAAACCACTTATCTTACAAAACCACTGCCATTCTATTATGGTGTAGTTATTCACGTATATCCTGTTCCGCCAGATAACATTCCTCATTTACCGCACCTACAGAGAACATACAATAGCCATAAACTCTTGTAAACAATCTCTGATGAAGACTGTGTAGACAGTCGAAACGCGTCGGATATTAAAGTTTACTAAAGTTTGCACTTCGTGCTGCTAACTACACCTACTTGCAGAAACGTTGTCATAGAAAATAGAACATTCGAATTTAGTAAAAAGGAATAAATTAAAACAAAACAAAAGAAAGCGTTCAGCCTCAGTAATCTTCTTTTGTCTTTTTAATCTATTCCTTTTTACTAAAATACAAATGTCCTATTTTTTTATGACAAGGTTTTCGCAAGTAGGTGTAGTTATTTTTCAAAAAAAGGTTTCAATCTGTATCAATGGGGTACTTTTCGAGTCTTAGTTTAGCCGTGTAGGTCTGCATACAAAGATCGTTATTGTCTTTTAAACTCATTTCTTGTGTAAATGTCATCATATCAAAATCATTCATTTTAWCAGATGGAAGCCCGTCACCCTTAGCAATATTAACAGGACACGAGCAGCCAATCACATGCGTGGATGTCAATGCGTCCTTAGGATTAGTGGTCAGCGGATCRCARGGTATGACTGCATAAATGTGTTTMAATAWATCYGCACAGTTTAAGTGTGCTCTAATGGAGTCAATTGAAGATATTCTGGAAGCTAACTTGTGAATATATCAATATATAGGGTTGTTGATATTTCTAAATTACACCCTTATTTTGTCATAGAACTGCAGATTATGCTTATCTAACCTTGAATAGRCATAATTTCAAAGTACTTGAATGATTTGCGATTTGTCTTAGCGTGAAAATATCGAAAAACTACATATTACCCATGATGCACCCGATATAATGATATATGTTGACGGTCAGAATTTTTGCAAAGGCTGTAGTGTAGTAAAATGTGTTATGTCTTCAGAGGGACCATGTTTAGTTCATACTATTACTGGAGATCGTCTTCATATTCTACACGGCCCGCAAGATTGTATAAGACCACGGCTGGTTCGTGTCGTCCAATCAGGGTTAATTGTCGTTAGTTATACCGATAATACAGGGCATTTAGCTGTCTTTACTATCAATGGTAAAATGCTAGAAGCAAAGCGACTGGATGACCATGTACTGGTAAGGTTCTATTCATGTTATATGATGACTATTTTAAGAAGGTGGAAAGTAGCGGTAAACTAGTGTGAGCTGCGTCGATGTTTCTAAAGAAGTAGTTGTGTAAAAAAAATACATTTAAAACCGTAAACAAAAAAAAGGTGAAACAACTTACTGACGTTTTGGATGTTCATCCCTCATCGAAGTTCACTCCGTGAATTTATCTTTTTACACAACTGTTGACTATTTTATAATATTTGCATCAATGGAATATTTCCAAGGTTGTTGTTGTTGTTGTTGTTGTTGCTGCTGCTGTCGTAGTTTTTATTGTTTTTGTTGTGGGAAGTGGTGGTGGCGGTGGTAGTGCTGTTGTGGTGGTTGTTGCTGTTGTTGTTGGTGGTGGTAGTGCTGTTGTGGTTGTTGTTGCTGTTGTTGTTAAAGGTGGTGGTGGTGGTAGTGCTGTTGTGGTTGTTGTTGCTGTTGTTGTTGGTGGTGGTGGTGTTGTTGTGGTTGTTGTTGTTTCTGTTGTTGATGATGATGCCGTGGTTATTGTCAATGATGTTGCTGTTTGCTAAGATGATGATGATGATGTTCTTGTTGTCGAAGATATCGTATTAAGAGCCTTACTGCCTTTATCYATTATCAACCTCGTCGATCATATCTAACCAACATCACCAAACCCAAGACCAATRGYATCGACGTTATTATCGCCAAGCATGAAATKATATAATATCATATTATTTCAGGCACTTGCTGTCAATCGAGATGGTTCGTTCTTGTTAGCTGGCGGATTTAGTCGTTACCTAACCGTATGGCGTATTCATGATTTAGCATTCATACATACTTACCCACCCTGTGACGGGAGTATTCGTGCACTGGCTGTATCATCTGATCAAAAGTAAGTATCATTACATAAAAGAGGTAAAATATAAAAACTGAATGTTAATTAGGGATTTTTTTTAGCAAAAAATCTATAAATATGATTTTGATGATTATATTAGACTCAGAAAATTATATTCTAAAAGGTATTAAAATACTTCGCGAAACGTTTTTGTTGTTTTAAATAACAAAGCTATGCTGATATTATTAATAGTMAATGATAGTTTTCTACGGCRAAAAMTACGATTTGAATGYGACGTCGTACTTACCCATTTAACTTAGGGTGTGTCRAAAAAGCTCAATTTGAACATGAACCTAAACATAGCAATCGTTATTTGTAATAAGATCATWTATAGCTCCCCATCCCATTCAGCTTAAGAGAKTGCAGTCGATCTGGGGGGCAGAAGAATGGTTGCTAATTCGCATTTAAGATTTAAGACCTAGCAAAGGTTTATGATGCGACATTAAAACTGAGACCTTTTCTAGTGTTGGGTTGCGATAAAGCGCTGATGAACTTGAACATCAGTTCTTTATATCTGATATAGAACTGATTAATAAAACATCAGTGCCTCATCGGGATATAAAGGCCCATCGTGTGACCCAATAGTTCGATGATCATTGGACTAATAGSTCATGAATTRTTAATGAGTTCTAGAAATATATTTATAAGCAATGTACATGAATTTCACTTGTTTTCTTTCTTTTTGCCTGTGGTTTRCTAACCAAGTGTATATTGTATTGCGTTTTTCTTTAGRTGTCTTGTTGCTGGTTTAGCTTCAGGAAGCATTCTCGCTATTGCGACAGACTTCTCTCGATGGCCGTTAAACTGAACATATGTCTATTGGTTCTTTTATAGTAATTGCTCCTAATGGAAATCCGTTTATAATACATGCACTAGGTATATATATYACAGTGATTTTGAATAAGCAATGTGCGGTGACGTCATTTTCTAGAACGAAGCCATGAGGGGAAATGTTGCTCTATTTTGGTATCACAAAAGTCATTTTTGTGATTTCCTCACTGAAAACGCCAACTTACTTGTATCTTTGCAAAGAAGGTAAGGAGAAAAAAATTCTTGAACAAGAAAAAGTGTCCTGGCTTTTCCTGGCATTTCCCATCATGATTTGGTCTTCAAAATGGCGTCTTTACAAAMTGACCTGTAGCCCATCACAGTAATCTCGCACAGTATCGATAATTTAAAAAAAATACTGCTCTCGTTTACAAATATAGCCTGCGTAGCGGCCCTAAGGGGATTGGGGAGGGCCGGCCGAGCGGGGAGTGGGGAGGAAAATCCCCGCTCGGCCGGCCCTCCCCAATCCCCGTAGGGCCGCTACGCAGGCTATTACAAATATAACAATGTACACATTATACCGTGGGAAAAAAATGATTTGGCATTTGATTCTTACAAGTATGCATTTACATAAATGAAGGGTATGAATTTACTTAATGAAGGAACGTACTTTTGTCCTAGTTTGTAGTTTTTAACATATTGACACAACTTGCCGGCTCAGTGTCACACTAGTGAAGCAATGGCATATCGAYACCGGCATAACAACATAAGGAAAAGTTAAATTCATTGTGTCGAGTAAATGATGCTATGCTTTAATATTTCTTTGCGAGGTTCATTTAGTTTTTCATGGTCTAGTTAAAAGCATAATGACATACAAATGGCGTAGATTCATGACGTTTAGTTCGTTTCATGTTTTTATGTCGTCGCCAACGTCAATCAATCCCAAAAGTGCTTTGAAGTTTGCAAATTATAATCTGAATGAAAATAGCAGCAGCACTTTTCGGAAATATTACTGAAATATTCGGAATACACTTTTATATTGGATTTGGAAAAATGTAAAAGTTGTAAGGTCTCTAATACGTAAATTCTGGCTTTCTAAATTACCAAACAGTCTCAGCGGAAATGAGTGCTACCACAAGGTTCCTTCCTTGGAGTTTAATTCGGCATCTCGTTGTTCATGGCATGGGGCTTATAGTATGATTGCAAATAATTGTATACTTGTAAAATACGACGTATAGACTACGCTTAAGCCATATTCCAAACGTTAAATCCAGTCCTACTTTCCGAATTTATAGGAAATTRCTTTGATTATTTGCTTCCATTTGTTTCTCATATTTTCATCGAACGATATTTCCGGCGAACGTGCTGGAAAGGCGACATTAAGAAGGGATTTTAAGACGAGGTTATCTAAATACACCGATCTTCCATTTCTGGTTTTGAATCAATAATTAAAATATTAATAATCTCTGTTCAATGAGACAAAATGTAATTGAATTTAGGTACTGTACTAATTTAAAAGTTTTATTGAATAACTAATAAATGATTAGGTTTCATAAGTGAACCGATGGTATTTAAAAAAGAATAGGTATCAAAATAGGCCAATTAGCGTTTCTAAATGCATCATGGGTAAAATGGCTAACTTGCAAATAAATTATGACAAAAAAAGAAATTCACATCATGGACGCTCCTAGTAGTGGGATCCTGTTTTTTTACTGGATTCGAGCATAGCTTCACCTTCAAGGACTTGACAAGAAACTTATACAGAAGGCTTGTTATCAAAACGAAGCAAATTTAATTTTATCAATTTTTCTGCTCTCAAACTCAACAAAGACARCATATATAATCTATCATTCAGATGTCTTTAAGATTCAACTAAACATGACGTTATACAAAACGATCTACCTTTTCCTGTCAGCTTTCTTCATAAGACACTCGGCTTGCCAGTGATGCATTCATAGCCGCGAACTGGTCTATATTCTGTGCATAAATATAATATGTCAAGGGCTCTAAATGATGATAGTTTTAATTAGCTTTTCAAACCAAGTTTGAATGAATAAACGCCGAAAATCGAAATGCTTTGTGTATTCAATTAACTACTTATGTTAAAGTATGATAAGAAAGGTGTTGCCATGTCGTAAGGAATCATATTTGGACTTCCTGAAGGAGAAATTCTCGATATTGTTATTGGTCAGACGTTTGCCTTTTAAGCTGCATCAGTGTATGATGATCATTGAACGAGGTTTCTAATATTTCTCTGTACAGAACCAACAAGTTTATTATTATACATTTTTTTTCTGCTGTTTGATGGTTTTTGTCAGAAACTCATAAGCTGTTTTTGTATCTCCTATTTCTCGGGGTTGCAGTTATAACTTTTTGGACTACAGCTACGTTCAACGCGCCAAGTACCAAGAAATAGAGAAGCAAATTATTCCCTGATTTCTTGGTTCTTGTTCCTGCACCTGTCCTCCGCTCCCAGTAGAATAAGACTAAATTCAAAAACAATCAAATTACAATCAAATTTATTAACCTGCATTCAATTAAGATATTTACAAAAATAACATTCCATATTTTTACATGTATGACTTCTAATTTAATCAAGCAATCAATCAACCAATAAATGTTTATTGAGTTCTGTATACAATTTAGTGTAATTTAATTCCAGTGAACTCTATTAAATTAGCTTAAACTATTCAGGAGGCAGATCCCAGTACAGTAGAATAAAGAATAGAATAAAAATGGTGGGAACTAGCGGTAAACTAGTGTATACTATTCGTCTTAATATATTTATTAGTACATTACTACATTAATTAGTACATTACTACTACATAATAATTACTAAATATTATAAGTTACTATTTACAATTGAAGAGAGCTTTGCCATAAGCGAAGCCCACAAGATGTTGTTATTGACGATAGAAGATATTTTTACAAGATATTTTTGGGTTATTTACAAAAAAAATGATATGTCTAGATATTTCTATACATTAGTGTATACAATTCATCTTCTTACGCAACTGTACTAATAAAAATGGACTAAGTAGTCTATATCTTGGCAAGAGTTTATGAAATAGCGAGTAAATCGCAATTCGACCTTAAAGATGTGCCAACTTAAAACAATGCAAAATGTACATCAAACTATCCTAACAGGAGACTAAAATAGACCATTCAAAAATTCAAAGACGAACTGACGCCTAGTCACAGGTGCAGATGTTCACAGTATTTTGGATGAATTATAGAGTAGCAACCGTTCGAAATCATTCGAAAAAAAAACAACAAGCTACTAAAAGTATGTATGGAGTTCAGAGCAGCCTCTCCAAAAACCATACATTCTMTGTATTTCAAAAAAATTTCCACCYGGCCAGTATTCAACAAAATAGGCTCAAATGTGAAAATAATTAACACTGATCTCCTTTTCGTACTATTTACAATTATCTAAATATTATTTTCATGTGCCATATTTCGCATCTCGCGCTGATTTGCTAGCTGCTGACCACCAGATTGATTCTTAACGATGTCTATTTTTGAGTTTTTTGAAAGCATTTTCCTTAATCCCTGACGAAAAACTTGACATAAGATAAACACAATACAAGGATTTATCGCCGCGTTAGCGTATGCACAGAATAACGCTATAAAACGAAATGGTTTTAAAAAGCAAGGATTAGGCATGACGTCATTGTATACAAATAGACGCAGATATACGAGCGCATTGAAAGGAGCCCACAAGATTATGAACGTTATGATAATCACAATCGCCAATTGTATGATCTTTTTTTCTTTTTTAGCCCTCTGCCGCTTTTGCCGATCACTGAACGAGTCTCCCAAATGGGAGGACTGTCTCTTAAGGCTTATGATGATAATGGTATATGCAATAGTCATAACAATAGTGGGCGTTACCGTCAGAATGGAGAACAATGACAGAAAATAGTTATTAATAAATTTTGCACCAAACTTCTTATCATATCCTGGCACACATACATGCACCCCATTAACCTTCCTGACTTCAAATGTGTAAAGATAAACTGCATGGAGACTCATTCCTAGTAACCATGTTGCAAAGATTAGTACTTTGCACTCTGTTTTTGACATAATGTAGTGTTTCATAGGGTAAACGACTGCAATAAATCTATCGATAGTGATGAGAATCAAGCTGAGTATTGATACCGCAGTTGTTACATCATGAAAAAATGGCACCAACTTGCAAAGTATTGTACCAATTGTTCCTCCGACAAGCCACTCGGTATCGTATTTAGATTTTGTGTACAGCAACACCAATTCCCTGCTATGAGACATAGTTGGGACTACAAGGTCAGATATGGCCATGTTGAGAATGAAATAGTTTGTGGGTTTCTTCATGTTCTTGTTGCTAAGGATGACAGCAGAAATGAGAATGTTTCCAAACAGCGACACGACTAGAATAACTGAATAGGCTGTGATCTTAATAATCCTTTCTTGCTGGTTGATTTGGTGGTCAGGACATATCTTTGTGGGACCATTATTTTTGTTGAACGAGTCCATTGCAGCTGAGGAAATTGTAGCAAGGAAAGTAATTATAGGAGCTGTATTTCTTGCCGACAGGATAGCAACTGTAGTAGAATTATTCATTGTTCAGAAGGATAAATGACACTTATTGAAGGTTTTGAAGGGTTTCAAAGATGCTTGGTAGCAGAATCCTAACACAATGGCAGCGATGATTACCTTGGATCTAAGTCCTAAAAGTGCTGAAATGTCATTTTATGGTTTCTATTTTGAAACCATCTGGTATCAATAATTACTTAAACCTGATATAGCATTATTATTTATTTACTTCAGCAGACAATAACTTCCTCAACTATATCTACATTAACACTCTGTTAAACAAACATTTCTCTTTCTGAAAGATATTCGCAAATAGAAAATTATTGATCTAGCTAGAACCATTCATTGCTAAATGTATCGTTGGTAAATCTAGCTCCCAATACAATTACATTACTTGAAATACAATTACATTACTTGAAATAAACAAAAAACAAAAAAAGAAAAGAAAAAAAATCAAAGAATCTCAGGGACTCTACAATCTTACAACAGGTTCAAATATGGAATATCTTACTCTCACTTTTTTTTTCTTAAGAAGATACGAATGCATTGAGTACAACTTATAAAATTGTTTTGATAGTGCTATGTTTCTCTAGCAAAAACTTTATTATAAACTCAAAAAAACTAAAACACTAAGCTTTCGGACAATCGTCCATCATCAGAGTAAACTATAGGGCATTATTCCAGCAATATAAAGATGAAAATTTACAAGACTATAGATATGATAAAATATGTACAAAAGATCTAAAWTACGACAAATACAAGCGTGAAACTACACAATACAATAATGAACTAACTAAGAGTATAAATTGTATCGGTGATAGTGAACTAGGAATGTAGTGTATTAATTATGAACTACCTAAGAATATTATATTAGTGAAATCTAGTAATAGAGTTTTTTTTTCGAGTTTATAATAAAGTTTTTGCTAGAGAAACATAGCTCTATGAAATGAAACTAACTAGCAACAAAAACGTCTTAGAACTTTATAAAATTGTAGTATTTGGTAATTCTCATGCTGATTCGTTTGCTGCTACATATTATCCACTCCGGATCTTGACCATCCTATTTTTGCAAGCAGAGGTTTGGTATATTTTTAATTAATCGACATCGAAAGTTTAGACGAGAGAAATGTGTGCGACTCCTTTGATCAGGCATTTATATAAAAGAAGTGAGCCTGACTTCTCACTGATGCTTTTAGTATTGATTTTGGTAATGTGATCATTGACGTTAGTCGACAGGAACTTCTCAGTCCTCAACGTCGTCCCAACGGATAATTCACCACTTGACGCATGCTCGACATGGACAATAATTTGTTCTTGGCAAATAATTAAAAAAGTTAAAACTCTTTCTTAAGCTGTCCTATCTTTGAATGAGTCATACTACAGTTTGTTGGCAAAGCTTCTCAGAGATACAATCTATTTATCTACTCTAGTTTTCATAAGTCTTCGAACAGCCGTCAGGGAGCCACGTTCAAAATCCCGACGGATGAGGATTGAGCAAGGGCTGGACCTATAATATTTAATTATAACTGATTAGTTGATATATTGAGTGGAAACTTAGATTGGTTGATCAATATACCGGGAACCATTTGAATTTCGAATGGAGAACAGGCTCCAACAGATCGATATCGTACTCAGGGGTATTATTTCAGTGTGTGGGGAAAGAGGGTTACCGTAGAAGGTAACCGTGGACGACGCTCCACGTCATTGCTTTATTTTCTTCTTTAAGAGAAATTGGAGCAAACAGACAAAAAAGTATAAAAAAAGAACAATGTGAAGACGAGTCTTAAGTTATGATCTCTTTTCGAGTTTTGTAATGATAAGAGCAGAAATTTGGTCACTGTTCCTATATCCAGTAAGAATTCTATGTCTTTATTCCTTCTATAATCTTTACAACATCACATAAGCCAAATACGCCTTTAATTTTGGTTCGGAAAAATAATTAGTAGATTACATTAATTGTTGACAATTATTCAGCCAAATAACAAAAATGTTTACATGGTTGTAATGTCAAGTTATCATTTTCATTTGCCCATATTCTCCATCTCTTGCTGATTTGCGGGCAGCTGCTGTCTACGTTTCTTAACGATTCCTATTTTTGTAAGCATTTGCATGAATCCGTGGCGGAATTTCTGACTGAACATGAACAAAATACATGGATTTACAGCTGCGTTAGAGTATGCACAGAAAAATGCTATAAAACGAAATGTTATTAAAAAGCATGATTGTGGCATACTGTGTTTATATACGAACAGTGCCATAAATGCATAAATATTACATGGAGTCCACGATATTATAAATGCTACGATAATCGATATCGCCATGGCTACGATCTTTTTCTCTTTATCGGCCCTCTGCCGTTTTTGTCGATCACTGAACGAGTCTTCTAATGCGATAGACTGTTTTTTGAGGCTGACGATGATAATAGTATATGCAACAGTCATTACAATAATCGGTGTTACAGCAAGAAGAAAGAACAATGTTAGAGAGTAATTGCGAAAAATTTTTTTTCCAAGTTCCCAACCAAATTTTTTGTACCATCTTGACCCACAGAAAGTTATCCCATGGGAGCCGACCCAGAGTTCAAATGTGTATAAATAGATTGCATGTAGGCTCATTCCTACCAACCATGTTCCAAAGATCAGTACTCTGCACACTGTTTTTGACATAATGTAGTGTTTCATTGGGAAAACGASTGCAATGAATCTATCGATAGTGATGAGAATCAAACTGAGTATTGATACAGCAGTTGTTACATCATGAAAAAATGGCACCAATTTGCAAAATATTGTACCAAATGTTCCTCCGACAAGCCATTTTAAATCATATTTAGATTTTGTGTACAACAACGCCAATTCCCTGCTATGAGACATGGTTGGGACTACAAGGTCAGATATGGCCAAGTTGAGGATGAAGTAGTTCGTTGGTTTCTTCATGTTCTTGTTGCTGAGGATAACAGCAGCAATGAGAATGTTACCAATCAACGATACGACAAGAATAACTGAATAGGCTATTATCTTGATAATCCTTTCTTGCTCGGTTTGTTCGTCAGGACAAATCCTTGTGGCTTTAGACTGTGAACTATTATCACTTTTGTTGAACGAGTTCATTGCAACTGGGGAAATTGTAGCAAGGATTGTAATTACAGGAGCTGTATTTCTTGACATGATAGCCACAGTAGTAGAATTATTCATTGTTCAGAAGGATAAAGGTACTTGTTGAAGGTCGTTTTGAATGGTTTCAAAGATGATTGGTAGATGAATCCAATGGCAGCAATGATTCCCTTGGTCCAAAGTCCTACTTCCTTAAATGTCATTTTATGGGCTCTATTTTGAAACCATCTGGTATTAATAATTCCTAAAAACTGATATAGCAATTATTGTTTATCTACTTCAGTTGACAATGACATTGACTTCCTCAATTTTGTCTACATTAAAATCTGTTAAACAAACTTCTCTGTTTCTTAAAGATATTCGCAAATAAGAATAATCGATGTTGCTAGAACCATTGATATACTTAAATACTTTCGTAGCATTCTCCCATATCGTCGTTGCTATATCAGTGCAGTCCTAATACTAGACGATCATGATGGATCGCATACGTGATCTTCCTGTAGTCCTGCGACAATGGGTCAGCTGCCGCCATTGATCTATAAGTATTTAATTTTCACGATATAGGCTTTGTTTGAAATAAGTCATGACAGAATAAGTTAATATTAGACAATCATGTATTGCATACGTGAGCTTCCTGTAGTCCTGCGACAATGGGTCAGCTGCCGCCATTGATCTATAAGTATTTCAGTCATTTTCACGATATAGGCTTTGTTTCAAATAAGTCTAGACAGAATTAAGTTATATAAGTTATTTACTACATCTTGATTTTTTTACCAAACTGAACTTAGGTAACTTCTTTATGTATCCTGTCATTCTCAGTTTTTCAAAATACTTGCTAGCACGACTTTATGCTCCCTCTCGTATCTCGAAAACGATTAATTTTCATTTTGATTGACTTATTGTTTCGTCAAATGAAAGTAGATTCTGCTGTGTACAACTATGATTTCAGCAGCCGAAAAACATGAGTTGTAAATCTGAAACTCCATAATTCATCATCACTTTGCTCAGAAATGATATGATCATATCAATAATGGGAAATAGATAGAATCTCCTAGCTGGTTATCATTTTCGCATCACCACCCCCTGTAACGATGGCTGTTGCTGGCTACTTCATACGATTCCATGGCGATAACTGAGGTGGATCATCACATGTGGTTGTGCCTTAAAATCGTATGTTTATTTTCCCTTTATTGTGTCTCAAAAAGTAATACTTAATAAAGGCGCTTTTGATGTTTTTTAAAGATTTCAACATGAAAAATGAGTTTGGGGACGCTAAACCTCTTTGTCGATCTGTCTGGCTCAGTTTTCAGCCGTTAGCATTTCATAATTGCAAGGAATACTCTCCCTCCTGACGGCTGTGCGCAAGGACTTCACGTCGGTCTCTAATCAATCAACGACTTTTCCACTCGAAAATCGAGAATAAGCACATCATTAATTAACATTCAGTGAAAATACTGTTGACAAATTAATGTTTGAGATACGTTTTAAATATGTTTGTTTGAACGTTCTAAAGTCGTTTGAATTGGACGAATTGAGAGAAATCATAATGAATCATACAGAAAAAAGCTCAACAAGAGATTGTTATTGCAAAGGATTTGTTTTTAATTGTTCCTACTGGCCTAGGAAAATCACTTATTTCTTCGAACTGCTAATCTTTGACGAGATGTCAGGCTTCCTAGGGTAATTTCCATTTTTGAGGTACTAAGTCTTACTCTATTCCTCCGAAATACCTTCGCGAAGTTTCTATTCTACGGGGACCTGTTCTAAACACGAGTGTGACCACGAGTGACCACGAGTGACCACGAATGACTACGAGTGACCACGAGTGACCACGAATGACCACGAGTGACCACGAGTCACAAATGAGTGACCACGAATGACCACGAGTAAAAAAAATAACAATAATAGCGAAAAATAAAGTAATTATGATCAAGTTACACCTAGTTGAACCGTCCAATAAAATATAATAGCATTTCTTACGGCAATTACTCAATATCTTGTATCAAGTATTACTTTCTGGTACATCAATCAATCATTTTTGTTTCCTTTGTTTGTTTATTCGTTTGATCGATTCGGTTCAGTGACGTTTAGTGGCGCATTTAGGGGAGGGACCTTCCTTTAGGGGAGGGGCCTTGGGGGAAAGTCCCCCCAAATGAGCATTGCCTCATTTGATTTTGATGTTGATTTTGCATAGCTGTTTTATTCAATTCAACATGTTTGAAAGTTAAGATTTAATTCAAGCTTTGAAAAGTCGTTGCGAAAACGAATAAATGAAGGATTAATGGACGCTTAAATGAATTAATTTTTTGTTTAAAGTTGGAATTAATTCGCCATTTTTTTACAAATAAAAAATGGTTAGCTCTCGTTCCATCTCGGGATCCCTTTGGTATTCTTGCTTAATGGTAGGATCATGGATCAAAGCCATGCATCAAATGTGCTTTTTCTATTCGTGGGACAAAAAGAAGAATTTTCTATGTATACCGTGCTGGGTATATTTATAGTGGCGTGCCGCTTTCCTCTAACGGCTTCATTGCTAACATTTGTTTATTATATATCGTTCGTGTTTCCATTGCCTTGATGCATGCGTTCCTTAGACAATAATGATAATATAGACATATGTATAACTTAGCTTAATAGTTATTGGTTAATAAACTATCCCTATGAGGGATAGGATTTTTAGATATTCTTTTTTTATTTTAATGTTCATTTATATAACTCGTGTTCAGTCGTGGTCGCTCATTTGTGACTCAAGGTCCCCCAAGGTCCCTCCCCTAAATCCGGCACTAAACGTCACTGAACCGAATCGATCAAACGAATAAACAAATAAACGAAACAAAAATGATTGATTGATGTACCAGCAAGTAATACTTATACAAGATATAGAGTAATTTCCGTAAGAAATGCTATTATATTTTATTGGACGGTTCAACTAGGTGTAACTTGATCATAATTACTTTATTTTTCGCTATTATTGTTATTTTTTTCACTCGTGGTCATTCGTGGTCGCTCATTTGTAACTCGTGGTCACTCGTGGTCACTCGTGGTCATTCGTGGTCACTCGTAGTCACTCGTGCTCACTCGTGGTCACTCGTGGTCACACTCGTGTGGAGTCTTAGAATAGATCGTCAAAAATATCCCTCAACTTGACTGGAGTCTTACCGAGGTGTGCTTATTAAGCATTTCCTGAGAGAGAGAGAGAAAGAGAGAGAGAGAGAGAGAGAGAGAGAGAGAGAGATAGAGAGAGAGAGAGAGAGAATGATTAATATGTTA